TTCGGCGCAGGGATTCGGCGTCCATTTTAATGGATGCAGGAATTGGGGGTGGGCGCAGGAATTGGGCACCTGGTGTGGTGGGTGCTGGAATTAGGGGGGTTGGGGTGGGGGGCACAGGGATTGGAGGTTGAGGGTGTGGGCACAGGGTTTGGGCGTCCAGGTTGGTGGGCACAGGAATTGGGGGTTGGAGGTTCGGCGCAGGGATTTGGCGTCCATTTTAATGGATGCAGGAATTGGGGGTGGGCGCAGGAATTGGGCATCTGGTGTGGTGGGTGCTGGAATTAGGGGGGTCGGGGTGGGGGGCACAGGGATTGGAGGTTGGGGGTGTGGGCACAGGGTTTGGGCGTCCAGGGTAGTGGGCACAGGAATTGGGAGTTGGAAGGTTCGGCGCAGGGTTGGGCGTCCATTTTAATGGGTGTAGGAATTGGGGGTGGGCGCAGAAATTCGGCATCCGGTGTAGTGGATGCAGGAATTAGGGGTTGAGGGTATGGGCACAGGGTTTGGACGTCCAGGGTGGTGGGCACAGGAATTGGGGGTTGGAAGGTTCGATGCAGGGATTCGGCGTCCGTTTTAATGGGTACAGGAATTGGGGGTGGGCGCAGGAATTGGGCATCCGGTGTGGTGGGTGCAGGAATGAGGGTTTGGGGTGGATGGCACAGGGATTGGAAGTTGGGGCTGTGGGCACAGGGTTTAGGCGTCCAGGGTAGGGGGCACAGGAATTGGGGGTTTGAAGGTTTGGTGCAGGGATTTGGCGTCCGTTTTAATGGGTACAGGAATTGGGCATTCGGTATGGTGGGAGCAGGAGTTAGGAGTTGTGGTGGGGGGCACAGGGATTGGAGGTTGGGGGTATGGGCGCCGGTTTTGGGGCTCCGGGGTGGGGGCACAGGACGTGGGGGTTAGCTTGGGCGGCTCCGGCCTGGTCCATGGCGCCTTAACCGTGCTGCAGTTCCATGATGGTGCCTTTCCTGTACTACGTGGAGGTGGTTATCGCCCGCATTTCCCTGGGCCCCGTGGCTGCGCCCTACGGAGTGGCGGTCTACGAGGAGATCAGGGTGATCGGCAGTGACCTGGCTGTGTGAGTGTCCGGGGGAAGGCTGGGGAGGGGGAGATGGGGCGCTCTGCTGGCTGCCTGACCACGCTGTTCTCTCGCTTCCATTGCAGCCGCCTGATTGCCAACGATTCCAACCAGCTCCAGATCGCCATCGCCTCCCTGGTCAACCAGCTCTACGTGGTGGTGTGGATCATGCAGCGCTTCCGGATCCTGTTCTCTACCAAGCCGCGGCCCGGGAATGGCGGCTGAGACCCGGGGCTCCTGTGCACGGTGCCCCTTGGGGTTGGAGGGGTCCCCAACGGTTGTCCCCGCAGAAAATAAAGCTTCGCTTCTACTCGAGTCCGGGCTCCTTTGTAGCTGCGACACCTCCAGAGCGTCCTGCCTTGTTCTGGGATTCAGGGCTGCTTCTGGGACTCATGCGGGGGCATGGGGGGCGTGCCCTGTTGTCGGTTTCCTCTCTGCAACCCTGGACTGGGAAGGGTTCTGAGCTTGGACCTCTTGGTGGGAGCTGAGAACCCTGTCTTTCTCCAGCCTAGCCCTGAGTGTCTGGTGGACTCGAACTCTTGCCCTCGGTATTAGCCACACGCGCCACCAGGGCCCCTTCAGATATTCGGGTAGTTCAGTGGAGGTGAGAATTTGGGAAAAGGAGGAAAACGAACGTCAATTGTGTTCCAGCCGTTCAGCATTCACTGCTTTCAGTAGTTGGGGAGACTTGCTCAGTTCTATTGGCGTCCTGGTGTGACGCTGCGGGCAATGCACTGGACTATAAGGTCGGTTTGAGCCGCAAGGGAGGTGATTCAAGCTTAAGTTAACCAGCTGCTCCTCGGAAATCCTGTACAGGGTCGCTATGAGTCGGAACCAACTGGACGGCACTTAACAGTAATAGTTACATTGGAGTCCTGGTGTGACACTGTAGGATCAACAGTGAGTGAGCTTCTAACCTCAAGGTTGGTGGTTCAAACCCACCAGCTGTTACATTAATGCTGTCATTAAGTTCAGTGGAGTTGGTTTCTGACTCACAGGGACCCTGTAAAGTTTTTCAGAGGCTTTATTTAAATCTTCACAGGAAGTGAAAGTCTCATTTTTCTCCTGAAGACTGGCTGGTGGGCATGAATGTAGACCTTGTGGTTCTCAGAAGTCCAGTGTTTATCATATGGAGCCACTGGGCTCCCAGTTACGTTAATACCATGTGTAGTGGTTACGAATTGGGCTGTGAACCTCAGGGTCATCAGCTCGAAATAACCAGCTGTTTCACTGGAGAAATATGAGACTTTCTGCTCCCATAAAGATTTACAGCCTCGGAAACCCTATGCAGGGTCGCTTTGAGTTGAAACCAACTCCACGGCACATAACAACAACAACATATTAATATGAAATGCATGCGTTTTTTAAAGTTGTGTTCAGTTGTTTCCCCAACTTTCTTTTCTCCAATTTAACATGGAATGTTTCTTTCTTTTTCTGCAATTTCTTCAAAACCGAGTTATGGAATGGTGGTGGTGGTTGTGTACCTCTGAGTTAATCTTACTCATAGCGACCCTGTACAGGGTTTCTGAGGTTGTAAATGTTTAGGGGAGCAGAAAGCATCATCTTTCTCCCTTGGAGTAGATAGTAGATTCTTACTTGTGACCTTGCTGTTAGCAGCCCACTTCATTCATAACGGACCTTGCACTCGGGCGCATTAATGCACAGTGCCACATTATTGTATTCATGTTTATAAAACATTGGTGACTGTCCTCTTTTTGTTTGATGTGAAGGTGTATTAATTTTCTTTGAGATTACACTGTCATTTATTACCTTTTCCCACTTGAAAAGTGTTCTTTCTTGAAATCTGCTTGACGCGCTGGACATTTGGAAGTTACGTATTTACACTATTCTCACTTTTTGCTTTGTTAAGTGCCATCGAGTCAGCTATAACTGATAGTGACCCTATATCGTGTTTTCTAGGAGTGGTGGGTGGTTTTGAACCGTGGATGTTGTTGTTAGCACTCCAGTGCTTATCTTATAGCACCACACCAGTACACCTTTTCCTCTGTATTTCACTTCATTTTTAATTTGTATCTCTGATTCCTTATTTTCAGTCTTATGGGTTTGTTTTGGAGCTCTGGTGTGGGGCTATAGCATAAGCATTGGATTGCAAAGTCAGTTCGGACCACAAGGTTGCCAGTTCAAACTCACCAGCCACTCCTTGGAAACTCCATTCAGGGTTGCTATGAGTCAGACCCTTCTCAACGACACTTAATAGCAACAGCTTTGTTTTACTCTAGTTGCTTCTATATCTGGATTGAGTTCTGGTTGGTATTGTCATGTATATTAATCTCAGGTTGCTCTCTAGGTTATTTCTCAGTCCAAAGAATACTTTTTAGTATTTGTTTTAAATTGGTCTGATTAGAGGTAAAGGGTGAACATTTTTTTTGTGTTCATTTGTCTCTTTGTACCTCCACTCTGGTGACTAGAAGGGGTGCCTGAGCAAGCGGACACCCTCTCACCGCCTGAGGGTTCTACTATGCACACACAGATCAGCTCAGCAAAGACCTCTGTGCCTAGAATCAAAGAAGGGCAAGTAGTCAATAAGAACTTCTTATAATGGAATGGTATCTAAAAATGGCTCGAGCCGGTCCTGGACTGTTTCTCACTAGGAGAAACCCCTGAACGGGGTTGAGGAGGGGAAGAGAGACAGACAAAAAAGGAAAGAGACCAACAATGAAATCTTGAGTTATGTCATAAGGAGCAATGGTAACACCTTGAATTTCTCAGGTGGCCTTGAAGTCCAGCCAAGAGGGTCATTAAAGTCTTACTCATAACTTGCTATGGTTTGTGTGTGTGTGTGTGTGTGTGTGTGTGTGTGTGTGTGTGTGTATGCGTGTGTGGCGATTATAGACTTCAGTATCCAATTGTGGTTTTTTTTGGGTTTTTTTTTTTTTTTTGGTTTTTTGGTCCCCCTTTCACCTTGGGGAGGGGGGAGGCTCTTTCTCTCCCTACATTACCTAAGAAGAGAGCAATTGTGGTCATATAGCTAAGCCACAATCTCACCCTATAAAATCCCATCATCCAGGCAAGAGCTATACACCAGATAGACAGCCAACACTTGCTACACTTACTCTGACTTAAGTAATAAGAGAAGTGAAAAGGGAAGTCGATCTCCTGATCACATCTACCTTTAGGCAACCAGAAAGCTTAATAACATATCAACATACATTCATCTGATTATTGAAAATACATTCAATTACTGAAAATACCCCCAAATCAACTGAAGATCTCAGCACATGGCCAGAAACAAGATAGAGTAGCTGAAACAAATGATCTGGAGGTAAACCTAGACTTCCCATTGTAAGGAGGGCAGAAATTGAAAATGCTTGAGAAGGAATTCAGGAGAATGATGTTGAGGTGCATCTAAATGTTCCACAGAGGGGTTGAGAAAAATAAGGAAGTTAGGAAAGTGCTTTAGAAACAATGAAATAAGATAGAAATAGCATTGGAAACAATTCAAAACCTGTAAAAAGGGGTCCAAAGGATTAATAATAAAATATCAGAAATGGACAATACATTGAAAGGGATAGAAGTGAACTAGAACCAGTGACCTTGAAGACAAATCTCTGAAAACTGCTAAGATAGAAGAGCAAGCAGAAAAAAAAAAAAAAGAATTAAAAAATCTGAAGAAAGTCAAAGTTTCATGTGGAAAAACGTAAAGAGGAATAACCTGAAGATTACTGGAATTCCAGAACAGGAAGGATCCCAGAAAAACCACAGAGGATACAATTGAAGAGCTTCTGGAAGAAAAATTCCCTAACATCTGGAAAGATGGAAAGATAAGCATTCAAGAAGCTCAACGAACCCCAGGAAGGATAGACTACAAAAGAAAATCACCAGGACATATCATAGTCAAGCTCTCCAAAATCAAAGACAAGGAATGAATCCTGACTGCAGCGAGGGAAAAGACAAGTGTTACTTACAAAAGTAAGCAAATAAGATTAAGCTCTGATCTTTCAGCAGAAATCATGCAGGCAAGAAGCAATGGGGAAATATATATAAAACCCTGAAAGAAAAAAAACAAAACAAAACTGCCAACCAATCAATAATCATCTACCCAGCAAAACTGTCAATCGAATACAACAGTGTAATAAAAACATCCCAGGATAAACAGAAGCTAAGGGATTTTGTCAAAGCCAAGTCAACCCTTCAAAACATCCTAAAGGGAGTTCTTTGGCCTGAGAACCAACAAGAACAGACAACAACCAGAGATTGACATATGTGGCAGCACCACCCGGAACTCAATCAACAGATGGAAGAGTCCAAAACAGAACAAAACTGTAAGAACGGATTCAGAGGATCTGGGAGGTCCGTCTATGATCAAAACAATTACAATGTGAAAGAAGGTAAAAACATAGAAATAGAGATCCAGGTGATGAAGAGGTTAGGTAGATTGCAGGATAAAATAGACTATTTTAATTGGAGGAAAAAGTTAATAGAATATAGGATAACTTCAAAGATAATTAATACGTCACAATATACCAAGGAACTGAAAATCCAAGAAGAACGTGGAAACATTAAAACTATGAAGAAACTGAAAAGAAAGGACACCAAAAACAAACAAACAAACAAACAAACAAACAAAAACCCCCTAAACTCAGCCCAGGAAGGCATGCAGAACGAAGAAAACAGCAGTCCCACAAAAAAACAAACATGACAACAATTAATTCATACCTATTGATAATTACACTGAATGTCAATGGGTTAAACACGCCAGTTAAGAGACAGAGTGGCAGAATGAATAAGAAAACAAGATTCTTCAATATGCTGTCTGCAAGAGACACATTTTAAACACAAAGACAAAAACAGATTAAAGGAAGTGAAAAAATATACCAAACTAATTGCAATAAAAAATGAGCAGGAGTGGCAGTACTAATCTCTGATAAAGCAAACTTTAAGGCAAACTCCAGCATAATAGACAAAGATGGACACTATCTCATGATTAAAGAAAGGGTCAATTGAACAAGATGACATAAACGTAATAAATATCTATGCTCCCAATGAAAGATCTCCAAAATACATAAAGCAAACCCTACTAGAATTGAAGAAAGAAATAGACAAATCTACAATAATAGTAGGAGATTTTAATACACCACTTTTGGAAAAGGATCAAACAACCAGAAAGAAACTTGACAAAGACACAGAGGAACTAAACAGCGCAATCAGGCAACTGGACCTCATAGATGTGTACAGAACATTCAACCCAACAACAGCATAGTACA